TGTATGGGATAAAAAGCTTTTCCAGGCATTCAGCTTTGTTTACATTTTAATCTTGTAAATGTTTCACACGCACATGATTGTCAAAGAAAAAAAAATGCAATTCTAGCTGTTATGGCTTTTGGTAAATGGCTTTTGTTTTAAGAAAGGAAAACGGGAGAGCCTAGGCCAGGGGCAAACAGGATATTCTGATTTCTTTAGCAATCTGGTATAGCTGTGTCTTAAATTCTGAGCTCCAACTGAAAGTCAGGTTGAAGGTCCATATGAGGAAATTCTATCAGAGGGTATTAACAATGCAGAGTATTAGAGTACTGGTATGAGTGCAAAAGTGTTTTAGTTAGAAAAGTACAGGGTTTAACTAATATCCCACTTCTACAAGAAATTATCCTAATGGTATAAAGAACATTCCAGAATATCTTGTACTGTGATAAGTAGACAATATCTCTATGGATCTTTAAGAGCAGAGGACCCTGCCCAAAGACTTGGAGATCTAGCTTTTGTGATTGTGGGTCTTCATTGTTCAAAATGAAGGCGTCCAGCCAACTGCCATTTGTTCAGAATTTGTTTATCAAGATGACAATGGTGGGGTGTATGCCCTGCTCTTCTTCCCTTTCCCCTCAAGTATCCTTTGAATATGTCCTGTTTTATCAATACCTCTGGTTTGCGCTGAGACAAGCCAAGCCTGTTACTCCTATTCTCCTTAACATCTTGGGTAAAAATGTTGAAGGTGAAAGATTCTGGAAGATTCAGAACTGAGTAAACCAACTTGAAATAAGTGAAAAGTCAGAAAGACATTGTCATGTCCCTCCCTGCAGGCATTGCTCAGCTGCTGCGTTCTTTATTTGGGGCACTTCTCTGCGTTTATGGAACACTGCAGAGACCTGCCAAGCCCTTAGCCCACTTTATCGAAGAAAAAAGGAGAGAAACTCTGAACACAACTAATCTAACCCATCTGGTGAAGAGCTTTAGATAGAAATCAGAGATCTTTGATCCTGGCCCATTCATTTCATCTTTCACTGAGCTCCCTCATCTTCAACTTCAAGGTTGTCAAATGTGGCCTCTATCTGGGCCTACCCCTGCATTCCTGCTTCAGCAATGGGCCTGCCTCCCTCAACTTTGGGAACTAAGAATCCCTCTAAATGCCTTCATATTAATTCTGTCTCTTCATCTTCACTC